ATAATGAGTTATATCTTTTGATAAATTGAATTAGTTTAGTCAACTCGAGCTGACAAGTGATGGACGAAATATGTTTCTGTTGCAATATATTCTGGGTTTATCTACATGCATATACAAATATACAAACAAAATATTCGATTAGAAAACCAACGAGTTTTGTTAGACTAGACCCAGCTAGTACCTTATAATATCAAAAAATAATAATATTTAATCAGAAACCAACGAATTTCACTATGCTTGACCCAGCGAATTGAAGCTCTAATTTCGAAATATCACACAATTGTTGATTAATAAACGCATGATTTTATAACTCTAGTCCAGCTGCAGACTAAATCTAAATAAACCTTATACCTAGTTGCTGCTATACAATATCTACTGTATGTTTGTTTTAATGCCAAAGTTGAAAAGTTGCATTTTTTATCGACCCAAGCTTTAGTGCTTTAACTTACTGATAAATCGTTCGTTACAACAGGGTTAAGCTGAAACTTTTTCTTTTCATCAGTTTTATGAAAACTTTCAAATTTTGTTTGGACAAAACTTTGCAGTACTTAGAACAAAAGAAAACTGCAATTGTGCTTCATTTTTTCCAGGGCTTGTATTATTAAACTTTCGCACTGTCAAACCTAATTACAGTCTGCTTCAAAACTTTATCACGCACACGAAGTTCTAGCTGTTGCTTTTGTTGTTGTTGTTGTTATTTGTAATTGCTCTGCCGGGTTTGTTATGTTGCTCCATAGCATGGCATATTATTTAAAGAGGCCTGAAAGCATGTTATAATACACTTAAAAAATGCGCGCCAACGGATCATGGCTTTTCTAACACCCCAAGCGGAAAGGTTGGAGTGTGTGTGTGTGATGGGTGGTGGGTGTGTTTGTATGCTCGTAAATTTTATGTGGGATTCCCTTGTCTGTCGGACGAGAAATAGACCAAAACATAAAAAAGAAAATCGAGCGAAATGTTGAAATGCTGAAATGAAGTGCTGTGCCAGCAACAGCATCCCTTAAATAATCAGCGCGATTTCTAATGATAGTAGTAGTCTAAAGGTTGAACACACACGCACACACACACACACAAACAAAGAGTGAATGTATAGCACTTTACTTTTGACAGAACAACTAACTGACTGACTGGCTGGCTGGCTGGCTGGCTGGTGGTCGCTGCTGCATTGGGGTTTGCCTTGTGGGCGCAGTGGGTGCTTAAGGGTTGCAGTTACAACAGTAAAAGCAACAACAGCAGTGGCAACAACAGCAACAATAACAACAACTTCTCATTTATGCGTTTATGTTGCCTAGCAACACACTACACGCGTGCCAGTGTAGTTGTAGAACATAAGTTGGGCCACGAAATTTCATTTTCATTTTCGCATTCAAAACACACACACACACACACACCCACACACACGCACACATGCTCACGCACTCGCTCAGCAGGTGAGAGCGATTGAGAGCAAGAGAAGAAAAGCTCACGGCGTTGCGCCTGTGCGAGCGTCGTTACTATTTTTGTTGTTGCCACCAAGAGGGTTGCTGTTTTGCCATTTTTCACTCCCGAAATGTTGCGAACAGCATCCAGTTGGAAAATGTAAGCGCAATCAAACGCAACACACAGCGCGTTGCCAAATTTGTAGTTCAAGAAACGCAGCCGAATCTCAGTGTTGACAAAAAAAAAAGTTTTACACACACGCACATACATGCAAACACACATACATTATAGCGCACACACACACACACAAACACTTTTATTCCCCTTCTCCATGCCGTCGCGTGCTCGTCCGTGTTTCGTGTGCTGTCTATAGCGAAGGAAATCAAAAAAAAAAGAAGAATAAAAGTAATTCAATCAATTAATATCAGCGGCAAATGGGAAATGCAAACAATAGTTAAAAGCAGCAACTACAGACACACACAACTTTTCCACTTCGTTCGTGCGTTAAAAAGCGCTTTCAATACATACACACAAGCACACGCGACACACACACATAGAGACACCTTTAACTCGGCCGTATTTGATTCGCGATTTGAACACCAGAAACATAAATTAAGGCATTTATTATAATTTAAAAGTTGTGCAAAGGTATACAAAACAACAACATTTTATGAATTTCTTATTAAAACAAAAGCAATGTGCAAGTGGAACAGCCATAACAGCCGGCACAGTGTGACCAAATGCAATATAGATATGTTAATAATTCATTTAAAATATGCCTGAATGTCTCCAATAGAAGCCATTCAGATTTTATATTGAACACAATGTGGACGTGAAGCAACCAACACAATAAAGTCGCGGCACAGTGTAACAAAACACATTTATAGCAATTGAATTGCATGCCAAATATGTTTTAATGCCTCAAATAATAGCCATAAATGTTATAGCTTTGGCTTAACGACCGCGGCTTTTACTGCTTTATTAGTTGTTGGTATTGTGACCTTTTAGACAGGCAGTGGCCGCAACCAAGCAACAATAATAACCCGTTACATGGGTGCCAGCAAAAATGAAAGGGCGAAATTAATTAGTTAGCGCCATACAAAAATATCCGACAAATGCATGAAATTCAAACACACACAAACACATGCACGCACACACACACACACACACACATAAGTATGTACATACCAACATTTATAATTCAGTCAAGTGGCAAAAAGGGAGCAGCTGAAAAAAGTCAAGCAGTGTAGCAATAGAAGTGGCAGGCAGCAGCTGAAAAAAATCACTGTAAAAGGACTGGAAAGCGCACTATTGACATATATACGCGCATTGAAACGGCATATACGGGCGCGCACACACTGTGAAAGAAAACGCCGCAATAATCAACAGCAAGACAAAACAGGAAATTCACTTATACTCTGGCGCTTTCACACATACAGAGACATAGAGCGACACATCTGAGGAAATGCGCGCTGTTGAGCTTTGCGTTTTGACATTTCATTTTCAAAACATAAATTCCAATGCGAGAGCAAGCACCGCACGAGCCATGCGGTGAGAGAGTGAGAGAAGCAGGCTGAGAGAAGCAGAACTTTATTTTCATTTGGCTCTCATATGCACACTCACTCTCACTCTCTCTCGTCGTCGTCGTCTCTCTCTCTATCATTTTCACCACTTGCTTTGTTAAGTTTTGACTTCTGTGCAGGCTCTTCAGGTTTTTGCATTCACATTCAGGCGAGAATGACGACAATGAAAAATACTATATGAAAATGTAAACAAATGTTAAAAACAATGACAATTCTAATATTAATATCAGTAGTGTGTCGCGTGTTCGTGACAGGTGGTGCGGGCAGGTGTTGGACTATTTCTATACACAATGCAAATATTTTACTCATGACAGTCACGCACACACACGCACATGTTGCAACAATAAATAAACTACATTTGTTGACATTGACAGTAACTGAGGTGTGTGTGCTTGAAAGGAATTCTTATTAAAGCACGCAAGCTAAACAACAAAATGCGTGAGACAATAGAAAGGGGAATGCGTCATTTCCTAATAAAAATATATAGCATACTTATGTGCGCCTGCATGCTGCGTTCACTTTTCAAGGAAACTGCTAAACATTCATTTTATTAATTAATATTTTAAATCTTGAATTGAACTTAAATGAAAAGAAAATTAAATAAAATACTTGAAAACAGCCGCTCGCAAAACATAACCGCAAATAAAACTCGTGATGATGCTCAAATGCAACTTCAACAACATCAAGTGCTGTTCAAAGGCAGACAGAGAAACAAACACACAGACAGATGCCGGCACACACACACACACAAATTATTATTATATATGTATGTACATAGTTATGGCAACAAAGAAGCCGCTTTTTGGGGGTTGGTTTTTTGGCGTGGAAACGCGTTGAAAGCGCTTTTCACTAATTCAATGCGACATTGAAATTGCGAGAAAATGTAAAAGTGCGATGCCGGCTGCAGACAGCCAAATAGTCGGCTGACTAGCCGGGCTTGGCTCTCAGACGCGCACACAAATACAAACACAAACATAGACCGAGACAGAGACAGAGACGTCGCGCCGACCGGAAGTACAGCGTAAAATGGGAGATGGTCGAATGTCTGGCTTGGCACGAAACCCAAAAACAAAATTGAAGAGCTCTGCGTGTTCTCGATGCCGGCAATTGCACACAGAAAGCATGGGAAGAGGGCGCTAAAAAGAAAGTGGAAAATATTTTGGGGATGACTGCATAAATTATGAGCAGGAGATTATCAGCATGACAACAACGTCGACAGGCTAAACTTTGTTTGCCCACAATTTTCTATTTGCCTGAAAAAAATTGTTCTGCAGCTTAACAAATTGTCAGGTGGTGGTAGCTAAATATGCTCTGGAAAATTTGCTCACGGGTGAGGGCGTTGGTTGCTTTGCCTGTTTCACATTATGTTTCTGTTTTTTTTTTTGTTTTGGCTACTCGAGACTCAGTCTGTTCCCTGCTCATCTCAATCTATTGCATACAAAATGATGCTCACGTAGCTCTGAAAGGGTTCAAGTGCCGCAATAGACTTTGATTTCGTTGCATATAAAGCTAGTGATTTAGACAGCAATTATTGAAACGTGCACGTGTTCCAAATAAAAATCACACATTGGCGCTGCCCGAGGGCAAATATACAACGTCGTCATCTCGCTTGACCACGCGGCGTTATAGCAACGCAAATTATCGTACGTATTGGCCGGAAGACAAAGAGAGATCGGCCCCGTTAAGATTTCGGTCGTTGGCGGTGGTCGGAGAGGTTCGAAAATTTGGCGTCGCGAGCGCATCGAGATGACAAATGATCCGGATCTAGATGATTGTGCATTTCTATCAGGTAATAATTAAAGGAGGCGTACATTCACACATACACACACACACATATATATAATAATCTGCCTCTATAGTGAATATTTCTCATATATGCGACAAAGCAAACAATCAGTGTTCAAATATTAAATTTAATATTCCCTCCTGTTTTTTTTCTTGCCTCTTTCCTTTATGTGCCGCCGTTTTTTAATTACATTTACCATTCTACCCAAACAGGTGGGGAATCGAGTGGCGGCCGCCAGACCCGCACCGGTGTTGCCGTCTGCTCGCAACGTCGCGCCCTCCTCGTCGCCGGCATCGTACTGGGATCCCTGCTCCTGACGGCGATTATCATTGCCTACGCTGGACCGCAAAATGGTAGGTTGCTCTGTACATATTTACATTTCGGTTGCAGTTTATCGTTTACTTTTTTCTTTGGAGCCATCAATGGCTCCACAACACAAGAATAACAAACAGTATTTGATGGGGTTCTATAGGGATGCTAGTATACATACGAGTATGTATGTATGTATGTCTCAAAGGTTTCAGTTTTAATGTTGTATGTGCATATATAGTATATGTATGTAAACATGCGATGCTGCTGTGTTTCTGATAGGTGGTCGGTAAGGATGAATCGAAATATTTGTCAACTTTAACAAAATGAGACCACAAGTTCTAAATAAAAATCTTACGCAAGTCCCCAATTAAACTAAAAAGAAGGAAAGCGGAAAAGAAGGGAGAGAATTTTCTGTTCCACACAACTTGGTCAATTTAATAATTATTTATTGTCTTAACATGATATTGAAAATATTTAAGTAGTTAAAACTGTTTTTTAAAGAAAAATATACATCACATATAAAAGAAGCACGTGGTTGGATAAAATCTTACTTACTTGTAGATTGTAAACAAAGAAAGAAATTGACAAGAGCTTCAATAAATAATTATTAATTCAAATATTTGTATGTACATAGTATGTATTTTATTTGAAAACAATTATTGCTTCAATTTATTGAGTCTAATAAATTTGTAGTTGTGAATTTTTCAGACAGACTAGAATTGTGTTGAAATATCGTTTTAAAAGAAACATTTACAAACTACAACATTTTTGCCACTTAAAATTAATTTCTGCAGCAATTCAAGTTAAACTATAAATTTAGCTTTGAATTGAAATTAAAATGATTGGCCCAGACTAATTCACTTTCAGGTCCTTTCATAAAGGCTGTAAGGCAATTAGTGAATCAATAACAAGCATAACAAGCAGCTGGCTTATAATAATATTTATGTGTTTGTCAATAGAACACACATATTCGATTGTGCCAGATAGCTGGGAGGCGGGTATTCAAACAAACAAACAAACACATTCCTTCACAGCTTCAAGGCACGTCAAACATATCGGGTTTCGCTGATTAATGGACACAGTTACACTCACGTTCTACATACATATATACTATATATGCACATATTTACGTTCTGCCGAGAGTATGCAAGTTACAACATGCTTTTAACAATATTAAAGGAAACCACAGCTATGCCATTACACCTAATGAATATGGGTAGATGCGAGCATCCCCAACTCCTGCTTCACTTCCTACGAGTACACCTCGCATTCAGAGCTTGACGTAAGACCTGGCATTTGAACACCCACGTAACAGTTGCTTTACTTTGATGCACACACACACACACACACACACACGCACACACACACGCAAAGCAGCTCAGTTCGGGGTCGGGGTCGGGCCTCGTTTCATTGCAAATTTTATGTAAAGTGCAAACATAAAGCTTCCATTGCATACTTAATAGGGCTAAATGCATTGAAGGCTAATTGTATTAGGCCAGACGCAAATGCAGCTATTACACATACATGTACACACACAACTCTGTGTGCATGTTGTGTGTGTTGTGTGTATTTGCGCGTTTACTTTTTGTTTACCCTTGCTGCTGATATTGACATTTGCGCCTCAAGCTTGATTCTGCAAGTGGGTGGGTGTTTGTGTGGAAAATGCACTTTGTACTATATGTGGCAGCTATGTTTTCTACAATTTTATTGGCTTTAAAACGTGACCATGGCGGCTATCGAACAAGTAAACGACTTTGGGGATTAGCTATATGTTTCCACGCTTTTCCAACAATGCTACCTACGCTCAAAACGAAAATAAAATTGTTGTATAATGAACGCCACACATTTTTTCTATATACATACAGATACACCTCTATATGCTAAATATATAATATGAAGCTATATATTTTTATCGTTTTTTTATATTGTTGTTTCATTTTTTTCGTATAAACAATGTTATATATATGAAAATTTCTCTTAAATGCTTGTTTGATTGGTAAAAATGTGAGTAACAAATTTTCAAGCCCAAAACTCTTTACCGGTAACTAATAATGTACTCTATTTACATAAATATATTAAGAAACATGTCCGCATGTTGTTGTCATCATATGTTTGTTCAATATTTCTTTCTTAGTGCATATTTTGATAAGTTTTGATAAAACTGAATCGAATTACGATAAAACAAAAACTAAAATCCTCCGCAAAAACAAAACGCATAAACCCCATCGACCGTTTGATATCCTGTACCCAAAAGAGAATTTAAGAGCTAGAAACACCATAACTGCAATGTCTTGGCTTATCAACTTTATTATAAATTTCAGATATCTCTACTCAGAGAGTACAAATTTTCAGATTATTCAATTTGGTTGCTTGCAATGTAATCCGATTTCTATAACCTATTGCCAATATATTAGAAAATAGTACAGGATATCTCATTGTCGGATCCGCTAGTCTTGAATATTTGCTCTTATTTTGAATTCCCTTAATATATTTTTATCAGATCACGCAGTTTAAAGCGAGCGCTCTTCAAAAAATTTTAAACTAACCCTGATATTTTAAATAGAACTAAGTTATTCTTTGAAAGAGGAAAGCCATCAATGTTAATTAGAAATCAACAATCCCAGAGCATTTTGCAGCTCTTTGGCATCACATTTTAGTAGATCATCAGTCATGACACATCCACAGATACGATTATAGCTGTCATTATCCCCTAGCCAGTTGTAACCCCCAAGCTTGTCCCTGAAGTTGTTTGTTTTTTTTTGTTTGAAATTTTTTATTTGTTTTAACCAGCTAGACATGCTAAAACATCCACCAGTGTGTATTTCCCTATTTCTTTTTTAACCCCAATTTTTCTATGCAGTGTTTTTATTATTTTTCTTCTTTTTTTTTTGGTTGTTAGTCGTGTAAAAGGCGGTTGCTTTAAGCGGCCAGCTCCAAACCCAAATGCAACTCTAAGCCACATGGCTCATCGTACCGTTTGTGTGTGTGTATGACTTTTTCAGACTGTTCGTGTGCGGCTAAAACGACGTCTGGCTATGAAACGGATGAAGAGAACAACACACAGCCATTCAATCCGATTGCAACAAACGGGGAGCCCTTCCCCTGGCTCGAGAAAACTCTGCCCACAAGTGCACGTCCGATGCGCTATATGGTGACCATACACCCCAACCTGACGACGCTCGACGTGAAAGGTGAGTAGTCCATCCATCCTGGATGTGAAGGCTATGCAAATTACTTGCGTATAATGCAATTTATTCTTCTTTTGCATCGAAAAAGGTCAAGTAACCATCGATCTGTTCGTGGAGAAGGAAACAAATTTTATTGTGCTGCACATACAGGACCTCAACGTGACGGAGAAGGTGAGTTGGGCGTGCAAATGAAGCCAATTAGTCTTTAATAATGCTCTCTGACATTTCATGGACAGGCCATTGTGACGAGCGGGCCAAAGGGCTATGCGCTAAAGATTGTTAAGGTGCTGGAGTTTCCGCCACGCCAACAATTGTACATTGAAGTCAAGGAGAGACTGAAGAAGAAGTCCAATTATACATTGAACTTGCGTTGGTATTCCAAGCTGAGCCCCGAACCGGAAGGTTTCTATGTAGACCAGTACGAGAGCTCCAATGGACTGGAACGGTGAGTAAAAAAAACTCATTTTTCAATGCAATATTTAACAAGTTGCTTTAGTTTTCAAGCCCGATTGCTAAATGTATTTTGCTTGAGGATATTAAGGAAGCTATAAGATAGTGTGGTTTACGAAACCGTTGTTAGCTAAATTCAGAATGTCCTGGGATACGTAAGCGTTAATTTAAAGTCCACTCGATGGTCGCATTCATTTCTGAACAATCAAAAAAAAGTGGAAAGAAGTAAATGAGATCCATTTTTTTGGTCTTTCCTCTATTCATAAACTTAGACTTAACTTTTTTTTCCCCACATAGGGTTGCCTATACCTACCTGATCCTCTATATTTAACTATATGTATATATTCACTAATAAGTACATAGACTAAATATATATGTACACTTGTAACAAATGTGCATTTGCTTTAGACTGATAGCATTTTTCTGTTAATACATAGTTTCATAGCTACATTGAAACGCCGCATAATTTATTTATTTATCTACCCTATCTTTCTATATCAACAACGACTACCTAGCTTGAAACAATAAAAATAACTCATTGGCCTATATTAATTCCTATACTTAATTTAATTATTCTGTTGACCTCTGAGTATTTCTTAAAATTCAATTAAAAAATGACATTCGATTGAGTTCAATCTTTCCTCAAATATTCAACAACATTTTTTAAATTGTTTTAAAATTGAAGAGATCTTTATAAGTTGAACAAAAGACACAAAATACAGCCAACTTAACTTAAGTTGATTCAGGCATATAATTCGTGATATATCGCGATTCAATGATACCTCAATTAAAAACAAATAATAATTTTACTTGTACACATAATGTTGTTTAAAATCACACTTTAGAATTCACTTTACAACCCATATTTGAAAAAGCTTAACATTATGTATGCAAATTATTTGTGTATCTGCTCAAAGCTTAATCCTTAGCTAGAATATTATTTATATTTATTTATTTATTTAAATCAACAAGTGGATCTGTCGATTTATTCAATAACAATATATAAGTATTAACATTTTATATATATATTAAGATTTAAAATTAAAAATTCAAATATGATTAATATAACATAGTCTCAACTTAAAAGATAAGAAAGCCCACGAAAAAGCTGTACAATAACGTCTATAAATGGCCCCGACACGTTGGGGGAATTTTATTTGCCAGTTGGCCAGCTATGCCCCGATTCACAGCCATATGTGGTCAGAGACATTATAGACCTAACAATCTAAACAAATAGTATGTAGAAGTCTATTCTATTCTACTTAGGAGCTAATTAGAAAATGTAAGGAGTAGAAAGATACAGAGGTAAAGAGGGACAGAAAGGAAGAGGAAGAGAAAGGGGAAGAGAGAAACAAGGAAGACAAAAGGAGAAAGAGGGAAATCTCCAACCCGGTGGGGGAAAGTTTTAAGCCAGTCCGGCCAGCTATGCCCCGACTAACAGCAGTATGTGGTCAGAGACTTCCACGGAGATAACTATAAAGAAGAACTTGTATAGAATAAAGAGAGAGTTCTGTTGAGAGTATATGAGAAAGCTCATTATAATTAATATATAATCAATATAACGTCATATACTAGAATAAAAGGAAAAGAGCAGCTGGCATTATTTCTATGGCTATAAAACAATCGAATTCGGCCTTAGACAGAAGAGCAAATAAATCAATTTAAAGGAAAGGGTTTTTGATGTTTTCTGTGAATATACCTCGATTATTCAAATACATACCATTATTATCTTTACAGCCTGCTTGCAGCCACTGTCTTCAGGCCGAATGGAGCACGCAAAGCCTTCCCCTGCTTCGATGAGCCGCACGTGCGAGCACCCTTTCGCATCTCCGTATTTCGCGATCGCTTCCATATAGGTCTTTCCAACTCGATAGTACATACGACAGAAGATGTGGGCTTCTATATGGGCACAGGCTTGGTATGCACTGCCGCAGAGTACTCAGTGAACTAAGTGACCTATTCATGAACTATATCTTTACAGCTACGCGACGACTTCATAGAGACGCCGCCACTGCCGGCCGATGCTGTGGCCTGGGTTGTCAGTGATTTCCAGCGCGAGTCGCTGCAACCCTCTGCTGCCTATATACCGACCACAGTGGCACCGGCCACTGCCGCAGGGGCCAAGAAGTCCGCCCAGATGAACAACTACACGCAGCTGAAGAGCAAGAATCCACCGGTACGCAACATCACTGCCCTCACACATTCTCTTAATGTGAATCTGACGCCACGTCACAATGCAACGACAACCACAGCGCTGCCTACAATTCTGAATGGGAATGGTAAACCCTCGAATTTGACCGCACTATCCCAATCGATGGGCTCGTCCATCAAACGCGCACCCTCGTATACCTTCTATGCGCCGCGAGATCTACTGCCGCGATCCTCGTTCATATTGCACACATCGCGGGATGTGCTGGAGTATTTGCAAACCTGGTTGGACATCAGCTATCCCCTTACAAAAGTGGACTTTGTGGCACTGCCTTCGCTGGATCGCAATCTCATCTCCTCGTTGGGTCTGGTCACGTTGAAGACTTCGTTTCTCACCGATCCCGATTCCATTACCACGGAGCAGTATCAGTTTAGTGCTCTGCGCATAGCCGAGGCCATGGTGCGTCAGTTCTTTGGCGGCATAACCTCCCGTAAGGTGCTGAAGGATGTCTGGCTGTGGGAGGGACTCATACAGTATCTGGGCATACACGCCCTCTCCCCACTCCAGGAGAGTTGGCCGCTGCGCGAGATGTACCTGCTGAAGATGGCCACCGCAGCGTTGGACATTGATGCCATACAGGGCTGGGACAGCATTATGAATGGCACGAGCCATGATGGCAACAACGAGGAGTTCTTTGTGCAGAAGACAGCGGCCATATTCTCAATGCTGCACACCGCCATTGGCGAGGATCGCTTCCGGGGCTGCCTGGGTTCTTTCCTAAAGCTCAATCGCTTCAAGACGGCCGAACCCTCAGATTTGTGGACCATATGCACCAAGAAAGCGAACGGCTCGAAGAATATCAAGGACATGATGACACTGTGGACACATCAGCCGGGCTTTCCACTGCTCACTGTCACCAAAATGGGCAACAGCGTCTCCATAGCGCAACGTCCCTTCAAACCAGCCGATTTTCTAGCCATACACGACGACTCGTACGATGGCAACAATTACAATCAAACCACATTGAATGCCACGGATATGCCGAGCACGGTAGCACCAACACCGGCTAGTAAGCACAAAGGACCTGCACCCATGAAGTGGATATTTCCGGTCACCTATGTCACGGACATTAATAATGCCAGCGAGACGCTGTGGATGCAAAATGTTGATGGTAAGCAGTTCTATTTCTATGTCTTGATTAAGTCGTGCTTAATGACCTTAAATAGAAATTCGAGTTAAATTCCAAGTTTCAGGATTAGTTTTAGAATTTTTTTTTTTTCGCTGACTTTGATATTTATATTTTAGTTCCTTTCACTGCTTTTCATACAAATGCATTCTTATCCATGGAGTACAATCAAGCCAAAGGAAAAAGATGCTATTTATAACATGGCGAGCTAGGTTGAACTTGTAATATCCTTTTGTCTTTTAAAATGAGGAAAAGTGTATGAAGTGCAAGTCATCATAGGTCATATGTTCTCCGAAGCCTGAATGAAGCTATTTTTTATAGAATAAAAGTTAGATCGGGCTCCAAAAAGTGTATAGCATACATATGTGTTTTCGATCATCACAACGAGCCGATTGATCATGATATATCTACCTTTAGGAACGATTAATAAGTTTGATGAGTAAAAGAGCAGATGCCAACAAACTTAGTGAGCAGGTTCTTCTCAGCTTATTTATTTTCCTATTATTTATTATTAGCCATTCACCTATTTTATAATAACTTAACAAAGCCAAGCAAGGACTCGTTTTGGGACACGTTTAAGATTGTTCACAACTCCCGAAATTCTTCAACTGACTAGATACTATTCTGAGAAGCATTAATAGTAAGATATTAAACAGTCAGCGTGTTCTATTGAATTTAGTTAAGGTTTCATTTCATTCAAATTATCAACTGAAATTCCGCATTCTTCATTTCAGTTACCTTCAACGTGCCGGAGAATGTCAAGTGGATCAAGGTAAATGCCATACAGAATGGCTACTATCGCGTGGTCTACAACGATGACAACTGGGCCAGTCTTATAGAGGAACTCTCTAACAATCCGAAACGCTTCACCAGCGAGGTAAACACATGGTTTTGAAAAACTTCTATTGGGCTATTTAACTAAGCTGTATTTCATCTGCAGGATCGCATTGGTTTGTTGTCGGATGCGTTCACCCTTTGCCACGCCAACTTGTTGCCCTGCGAGATTACCATGAACATGATACAATATTTACCCAGCGAGACGCATTATGGTCCCATGGCCTTGGCATTGCGACATCTGGAGAAATGGCGACGCATTCTCAAATACTCGGAGTGCTTTCTCATGCTATCCGAATTTATCAAAATGAAAATATCCACGGTTATGGAGAAAGTGGGCTGGACCGATGAGGGAGATGTAGCCATTAGGTGAGTCAAGCGGAGCTAACAATAAAATGGGGTGACAACTCTATCTAATACGTTGCCCTCACACAGACTTATGCGTCCTGAGGTGCTGCTAGCTTCAGTACTATGGGAGGACATTGATAGCATAACGAAGGCTAAGAACATGCTCAATCAATTTCTCTACTATAATGGTTCGGCCATACCGCCAAATTTGCGCGAGGTAAGCATCGGTGCCAACATCTCTGCTGTAATTTTTTAAGACTCCTCACCTTTTCCAGGTCGTCTACACCGGTTCCATACTGTCCGGTGAATACATTTACTGGCAACATTGCTGGGAGCGCTTTGTTGCGCTGCATCGCACCTCAGAGACCTTTGTGGAGCGCATGCAGCTGCTGCGCGCGTTGGGCCGCACCAAGGACGCCTGGCTGCAGAATCGTCTGCTCTCACATGTCACCATGCTGCCCACCGATGAGGTGGTGCAGGTGCTCAAGGCCATAGCAGGCACTCCGACGGGCGGCGCCATGGCCTGCCGCTTCCTGCAGGCCAAATGGTTTGAGCTGGAGAAGCGCCTAGGTCAGGGCACCTTGAGTTTCGCCAAAGTGATATCGGCCATCACACAGTATGGCGCCACGAAGTTCGACTATGACGAGGTAAGGCAATAATTCACACACCATAAATAATTACACTACAGGCAGTAGTGTAAGTTCTGCGAATTCTTTTTATTAAGGTATACATGGGGGTCACCAAAAAAAAGAACACGTATTCAGTGGCTTTTATAGTTTCGCAAATCCTATTTTTTCCTCTCTTTTAAACAAAAAAGGAATTTTAATAGAATTAGGCATCTTAGTTAAAATATATGATGAATCGTTAAATGAAATTCGTAGTATTAATGAATATCAAGAGACATATTTAGTATGGTCCTAAATTGAGCTTCCTAGCTTTAACCACAATGCTAATCTACTATTATATCAGAACTACTTAGTCTTCAAATAAAAAAGATTTGTTGTGAAGTTGCTTTGTTCATGAGAGGAACTCAAGTGCTCAGATATTTGTCTATTCATTTTCTAAATTCCATGTGCTATCTAAAAGTTTTTATACCCTGTACCCGTAGGGTAAAAAGGGTATATTAGGTTTGTGCAAAGTATGTAACATACAGAAGGAAGCATCTCCGACCCCATAAAGTATATATATTCTTGATCAGCATGACGAGAGAAATCGATCTAGACATGTCCGTCCGTCTGTCCGTCTGTCCGTCCGTCTGTCCGTCTGGATGAAAGCGAGGATCTCGGAAACTATAAAAGCTAGAATAACCAAAGTTGGCATCCAGATTCTCCTAGATCCGAGTAAGGACGAGTTTAATTTTTTTTTTTTTAATTTTTCCCCCCTTCCTCCTCTGCAGAATTTCGTCAATAGCGTCCACATTTCAAATACTACCTAAACCAAACTTTGCACACATAATTTATATATAATTATCTACTGTTGTTTAAAATTTATTTAAATAAATTTATTGAATTCTGTCAATTCTAAGAAAAGTTATTAGCGAAACAAATTCTCGCCAGTACAACCCCCACAAACTGCAGCAACAAGCTCGCTCTTCTTCTTCCTCTTTTTGCTGCTGCTTTGGGCGCATATAACTCAGTGACGGAAGTTTACCTGGGTACAGGGTATTACACTGTCGGGCTTGCTCGACTGTAGCGTTCTCTCTTGTTAAAATAAGAAATATTAGGTCCTTCCCAAGTAGAAAATCACTCTAAAAACAAGTAGAACCATTCTCTTTTTCCAGTAATTGTGTTTAAGTATCAATCTTCATATCTTAAATATCGTGTACTAGATTACTGAGTCAGTCTGAACCATTTTAATTTCCCTGAAATTATCTAACCACGCAAGGCTATGAGTCGAGGTACAGCATTTTAATCTACCCCCAACGGGTTAAAGATTTCCGCTTTCTCCTAAGCATTATAAAAAACTACTCATTACAATTAAATTTCCGGCTTAATTTTATTTTTTTGTTTGTTAGACCTAATCACTTGTGATTTGGGGCATAGCTGTCCGGCAGTATCAGATATCATTGTATTTTTATTTGATTAATTTTTGGGTTTTCTTAGCTTTCAATGCTTATTGTAAAATGTAATTTATTTTATTATTTTATGATGTTTTTTTTAATCTTTTTCTTTAAATTCATAATAAAGTTGATTTCAAATTCATAAATACAAGTATTTTTTAAATATGAGAAAATATGTTTTGTATTAGGTTTTTCGTAAAATGAAATATTTTTAAAATAAGATATTATATATAGAATATAGTAATAACACAAAAATTATCCCTAAACATCTGGTTAATTGTTATCGCAAAATTGTTAAACAACTCGCAGCCCCTTTTGTAGAAATCGTATTCACGTTAAAAAAATAAAAATACTTAGACTTAGATTTAGTTTTCCATTTAAGATATCACTATTTGAGAACTCTAGAATTGTCTCTAATACTCTTTCCATTACACTTACAGCTGAAATCGCTGGTGCATCGATTTGGACGTGGCCATGGCATGGCAGTCTTGAACATGACGCTCAGCAGCGTGGCCTCCAACGTGGAGTGGGTGGCCAGATCCCAGACAGCGCTCTACAAATGGGTGGAGAGCAATTTGCACTCACATTGATGGGGCTTATCGACTGTTGGCTGGAGGACGGCATTGTTTATTTTCTGGTTCAGCTGCTGCACTGCTGCATGCCTTTCAGTAAAATATTTTGATTTAGATTGGAGTAAACGACTACTTGCTGCATTTCCTCATTTGTAATTATGTTCCTTGCAATGACAAACACTGACACACATACACACACATACACTAAATAATCAAATTAGAGAAATCGAATTCGTATTTATTTTAAAAACCAGAAGACACTATGAAATAATAATTACCATATCATATGCCATACACTTGTGACTCAAGAAGGACAGATCTCGGTTAGTTGACTCTTACTTTGAACGCCATTATAAGACGACAAACTCTTTTTGTTGGGAAAGTAAAGCAAATTGTATCTATATATAACATTCTAGTAAGTATCCTAAACAAGAGAATTAATATTAATGTATTAGAAGAACAACAGCAACAACACACCAAGCTCTTATAGTATATGTATATGAAAACTTATAATACACTTTTCTATTGTCTACAACTGAACATGATGGATATATCTATATACTGTATATGTACATATATTTTACAAACACATACATATTTAAAAAACAAGCAAATTTGTAATAAGCGAGATCATATTTTTTCAAAAAACCCAAACAAACAAAAAACAACAAAGAAAATACAAATGAAACTTAAAAGAAAAAAAATATATATATATATGATATGTACTATATAGCATATTAGCCTATAAAGTAAGCATCAGTTAGAAAGCTAAAGCAACATATAATTTTTTATCCAGTTTCTTTTAGAATGCCTATATAGTATACATATACGAGTATATATATTTAAATTAATTTATGTGTAACTAAATGTTTTTAGGGAAACCAAAATTATTTATCTAAATGTATGAAATTGTATATCTGCATCGGCTATATATCACAGAACTCTTCCTTAATCAGCGAGCAAAGTGGGAATGGCGCGTGGCATAATGTTGGGACATTCTATCAGATAATCAGCGTACAAAGCCATAGATATGTACATAGCTTACATGCCTACAACTGATACACTATTTATTTATGCACACAGACTACTTAAGCCTCTTGTTTGTACTCTGCGATAGGGGAAGCGTTATATATTTAGGTTAATCGCTGGCCATTTCAATAATTAAACATTTCATTTGCGTTGCCGAGTCAGTCGTTGTTGAGTCAGCTTTGAATGCTATCAGTTTTTTTTTTTCTTTTTGTTACTCAACAAGAAGGAAGATATAGATAGGAAGAGGGTGCGAGTGAGCACGTTTCTAAAATTCGGGTTTTTTGTATAAAAATACCTTCGCTACCTGTTCGTATCACCACTTGAGCGTCTATAATTTTATGATCTTTGCTGTACACCCAGTCGGGCAGAACTAAGATTAGAAATGTACCTAAACGGCGATCGATTATAGTGTCTGCAGAATACATATACATACTATGTTTATACATTTATTCTGCAGACAATATGTATGTATGTAATGTGCTTGTAGTCTTTTGCCAAAGCTTATCAGCCCCTTTTGTCCGACGCCAGCGTCGTTAACCTCTGCTGATAAACCACTCACTCGTCGCTCTCTCGCACTCACGCTCTCTCTCTCTCTCTCGCTCTCCCTCTCTCTTGCTCGGCCTCTTTGGCGATCACTAACTTGATTTCAACTCTTCCTCCAGCGACAAGTTTTCGGTTAGCAGCTACAAGCAGCTACAAAAACCTTCAACATACATACTACATGCTCGTATTATTTAATGATAATTTTTATTTGCATTCATTTACATATCTCAAAAGATAGTATGTATGTTTAGTTAGTTACTATAGTTTGTCAGACAGTAGTGGTTCGTTTCTTGCAAACTAAGACTATCTCAAGATACTCGTACTCGTACCCGTACATTATCGCAACAAAAGTCAATCGGATCAGTAATAAATAGGAAAGCTATTGAAAGTACATTGGGATTTCCATAAAACGTACATCGTACTTACAACAAAAACAAGCAACTAACTTTAGAAGAAAACAAAGAACAAGTTTTGGAGGGATTTTACTGTTTTCTAACATGTATGTACATATGTATGAAAACAAAGAACAAAAACCGAGAACAGCATACAAATATTCGTATAAATAATTAAAACCACGAACGCAAAATTTAGAGAGTTTTACAGAAGCCGCATGGAACAGAGACTAAAATGATTTGAATGTGGATTAGCGGCAGGCTTGGCCGGTTAGTTTTTTAAGGAAGCAAGCGAGGCAACTGTTAGCCCAGTAAAGAAATTATGGACACCTTAATTCAGATCAAGTGTTTTGGAGTGCATAACATTTATCTAGAAACAAACCAGGAAGGAAACTACGAACACATTTAATGAAATGTCTGAAAAGTTACGTTCTCCGGCAGAGAACACATTTAATTTGTAACCCGAAACATATTAAAAGTTTTCGTCTCATTTTCAGGGTGCCTTTTATAGGAATTTAGAATTGGTATCTTGGTATCTAATTAAAGGCATTTCCTATAAAATGTTGCTGTGGTTCGCTTTTAGACAAATGTAATGCATTAACGAATACTTACAATTTATATATCTAACACCATCTCTATTGGGAGCCCTATGTAAATATTGATTTATTGGAAAACCGCATACCCTACCCATATCCTTCGCTTTGCCATATGCTCACATTTAATCACCCAATCGTACATACATACATACATATGTATATGATGTATATCCGTCCACAAAGTCCAGTTCGGTTAAACCCTTAACTCAATCTCATTTCCAAAACCCTGCCTATGAAATGCTTATTACCCATATGGCCTTTATTTTTAGTTTAATGCCAAATTTCTAGTTAATTTTATTAGTCCAAATTTATTTGCTTTCTGAAATCATATAAGTATAAATCTTTGTAATAAACAATTCTCTTGCTAAATATGAATTATGTATTATCTTGTACAAGAGAGTGTCTAGAAAATAGAGATAAAGGGATATGCAAAAGGAAAGCAGGCAATGCAACTTTAAAGACGTAAATTTAATTGTATGGAAACAAGTACATACATATATGTGTATAATAAGTCAAACGGGAATACAAATAAATAATGTAATAATGCAAAACTTTGTTTGTTTTAATGTAGACTTATACAAGTATATGTACTTACCTATATGCATGTATTTTTACAAACGATAATGCATGCAGGGGAAATTCCTCTTTGTAGTAAGTACACTCGCGAAAATACTGAGAGAATCGGCGTAGGGGTCGCCCCCCAGCCTTAATAAAACTGGAGAACTGGAATTGCATTTCTACAAGTACATACACATATTTCCAATGAATTTTTCAAGGTTTAGGTATACTATTTTCTTATTTATGACGTGCGGTGTTATCATAAATATATGTACGAGTATTCCAATAACTTGATTTGTTTTTGTGTTGATATTTGTATTATCATGCTTGCTTATATATGCGTACAGTGCATTGTCAATAGAAGCGACACTTTATATCCATCCGTGATGTGCATCCATTTATATTTGCACAGTACACTTTTTTAGCCGGCCTCCCAGTTTCTTTGGCAACTCAGAAATTCAGAAACTTTGTTTATTCTCATTTACTGAACAATCCGTTTGGAGGTGTACTTTTGTACCCGGGAAATGCTAAGACCTAAGGGATTAAAGGCACTTGTTGATTGTCTTTTGTATTATAATATTATAATATGTTAAAAAGGGAATTTTAGCAAATTTATACAACTGAAATGCACTTCGTATGCTGGCCAACAGGATGAAATGAAATAATTAATCGTTTATTTAAGTTTATTTAACAAATTTATTGATTGTCCATGATGACTAGCATTTAAAAGAAAACACTGCTGATACAAAAAAAAAAAAGATTAAATTAGTAACAAAATCTAAATTCTACATATTAAGTAGCTCCAGCATTTTTTCTACAGTGTGTATTCTCGCCTTGTGGCCGCTAGTTTAAAAAGAAACTCCATTTGTTAGCAATATTGGATAACTAAAAATCGTTAATATTACAACAAAAATAATTGGCATTTTCAGGTCTCAACTTATTTTATGTAGCCACGTCTACTACGTAATACTAAGTAATTAAGTCCTTAAATTTGTTGTATGAAAGCCTTTACTGTCAGCAACTGTTTTAGGGGGATTTTGTATCGACACCGCCAACTTCCGTGTCACATCAAGTGAATTTGTTGGGGTTGTTTTCATTCACCTTTAGCAACATTTCTTATTAAAGAACGTTTAATATTTCAAATGGCAATAGCATCCCTCGCAAAATAGGAATATGAACTGCCAGTATCTATGGAAAATATACTTGTAATATGCAAATGCATCGGTGACAATGACGACAACTTTGCTTTAGTTGCTAAAATATTTGTTCGCGCTCGTCTAATGAGTATTCAAGTTAAAATTACAAATACAACAACAACAACAACACACAGCCGGTTCGAGCCGTGCGGCACACATCATTTGTAAACAACTCAATTAAGAGCGGCAGCACATAGCCTAGCACACTGACACACCCACACAATGAAAATAGCAGTAGCTGAGAGAAAACGCGTCATCCTATCACACTTGTAGGCGCGTGCTCTGAGCACTGTGTGCTTACTTTATCAGCCAAGTGTCAAAACAGTGTATTGGGCAGAGCGGGGCACTGTTAGGGCCTCTGCCGTCTGTTTCTCTTGCGCCAGCTGACGCCAATGCTGTTCAGACGTCGCTGCTCAGTGTTATGTGAACAGTCGTTGAGTGGGAACGTAGCTTTCTTGATCGCTTTTCCGTTTTGAATTGGTTTTGGAATCTTGTTTTGATATCGCGTATACGTCATTTATGTTGAACGGTCACTTGTTGCTTATGTTCAAGCTGATTTATTCAAGCCGATTTGTCGCGTGTTTTTTCAAAACAAAAGCCCAAGCCGCTGAAGATTGAATCTACAAAAAAATAATAAAAAATAAACTGCCCAAGGCTGCTTAAGTGTTAAAACCATAAAAAAAAAACAAAAGCTTTCTACAGTACATTGTTTAATTTGTGCAAATTGATGCCCAAAGGTGAAATTGCTTAGCATACGAAAATTAAATATACTCTTTCATGCTTATGTATGTGCATAAAAACATAAGTACTTATGTATGTATGTACATATGTATGTATGTAGCTTGATTAATTTACAAGTGTATTTTACGTAAATCAAATAGCTGGAAAACTGCGCCGTTCACGTTAAGGCTTTTAAAGTTTCTGCTACTGTCTATTGTGTATAATTAAGCGCGTGTGCCTGTACATGTGTTCAATAGTGTGTGCGTGTGTGCGATCGTATCTGCGTATTGGTCTAATCAACACAAGCAATGCCACCCATATTAAACTGTCCGCCCGCCTCCCCCCACAGCGACTGTTGGCACCAACAAACACTTGCTCCCAACCCAACTCTCTTTCTCTCAGCATTTAAATGTGCAAATTTGTACTCAAAATAATGCATTTTGCCTTTGCCATTTGCTCTAGCTTCAAAATTCTACTAGTTCTGTGAAATATTAAATAAATGTACATATGTATGTACATACCTAGCATATAAACTAAACAAAAAACTGACGTGTTTCGAATGAACTGCCGGCTTGCTCTCTTCTTCTGCGCTCCCTTGCGTTGCGAAGAGAGAGCTCGCGATGTTGTTAGACACTTGTTGTGTGTTAAAAATAAATATTTACATTTGTTTTCATATGTATTTTGCTGTTCTCTTAATGCGTGTGTGTGTGTGTGTGTGTCTGTTATTAACATGTACTGCGACGAAATAATAGTGCTGGGTCGCGTTTTCATGCATGTCTGAAAAGAAAACTCGCAGTTTTCACAAACGGGCCTATATAATTATCAAAAACTATTCTATTCCGCTTCATTGCTATTCTTTTTTGCGCTCCGCTGATTAAAGCCAAAAAACATGAATACCTTTTGACGTTAGAAGTGCGAGTGGTAATGTCGCCTGCACGACAGCTTTTAATATTTGACTTTGGATTTTCTAATTCTGGGTCCACTGACATGACTTCTTTGTATACTTCATATTTTAAATCAATATTTGAAAGCAAACAACATGCCAATTCCAATATTGAATCTTACTCTCTGTGGATACATACAAAATTTAGTAAGGGGACATTTATTTTGTCAGTTTTTATTTAAATTGTAATTTGCGTGTCTGCTGCCAGAAAAAATAAAAAACAAGACAAACCTCTTAATGTTTTATACGACGGGAAAAACCACAAATGCGGACTGCCGCACACTAAATACCCTACTCTATTTTTTTATATATATATATTCCAAGTCCTTAAAAATTGATAATGGTGGACATATCGCAGGTGTTTCTATTGAAGTAGTTATAAAAATTGCGCTTTCTGTTTTTTGCATTTCGTTTCTTTAAATCAACGACATAATCGTTTAATTTAGCTTAGATACATATTAATATTTTGTTAAGTGAAGGAATACTGCCAAGCTTATGATTTCGATTTATCATCCGTTTGCCATAAAGGGCTGCATCCTGATAGAGTTGACGCAAAAAAGATGCACAAGCTGGCGAATACATCCATAAAGACTCACCATGTTAAAGGTATTTGTTATTGTTCTCTTTGATGCGTTGTCCACATGGAAATAATACCATTCGAAAGCGTAATATAAAGTATACAAAACTGGTTTGTTAACTTAGCCTCCATTATGGCGACTGTCGCAGAAAAGTCTGTTAGCAATCGTTTAGTGGCTTTTTTGATTATAAAACTTTGTTCATCATATTTTTTGCTTATAAATTTGTGCCCTACTGCAGTGCGTTTTTGATTCGTGTTACATCTTACCTCTCTCTTCTGTGCCTCTTATATCTCTATCTTCATTGTTGGCCAATTTTTAGGATCTGTTGGCCCGGTAATACATGGTTAGTTAGCCAAGCTCAGGTTGTTTTTAATTTTAAAACATGACTCATGACCATGAGCTCAGAGCGCACAGTGTCCGAGAGAGTTTTACTGCAAAAACGTAAATTGTAAAGCTTATTATATGTTTCCTACCAACCAAAACTTTATGGTCATCATCTTTACAAATGTGTGAGATTTAAGGTTCTAAGTAAGATCTGGGTACAGACTTACAACTGCGTGTAATGCAACCGAATGTTCACTGGATTGGGACTGTAACTGTAACGTGAATTTGAAATTGCGACAGGATCTAAATATTTGCATTAATATACAATTCTGTTAAGGGAAATATAGAATGATGAAATTTGTATTCGATCTAGTTGTCCGGCATTGCATATGGGTTGTACTTCTTATCATATCAAATAAGCTATAAAAAAGTTAACTCAATATAATTCCGCAAAATTATACCCCCTTGTCTAATCAAAAATATTTTATGTCCACACATAATTGAAAAGAAAACTTATCAGCTTCAAACACAACTCACGGTTGTAAATAGCTTGTGAGTATACACTGAACAAAAATTGACCCTAGACTGTTTTTAGAAATAGTGAAAAATTTTTCTATTTCCATTTTCTTTCTCTTTAAATCCCAAATATATTACAAAATGAACTTTTCAAGTACAATACCATATAGAAATGTATTTTGGACCATTTTTATTGCTTTGGAAATTAGTTCAATGAGCTTATAAACTAAGCGGCCTTTTTAAGCTTTGGGTATTTATTCAGGTACTACGCGTGTATGTAAATATGAATAATCTGACAATACAGTATGAGTGGGTCTGATTGCTTCATGCACCCAACTACATATACAGATACATCTTTATATATGTACATACATATATTTGTGATAAGTATACGAACTGCTAATTGCGTGCTGGCGCGTTATCATAAAATTATTGATTTCTAGGCGCCAAAGGCATAATCGTATTAGTTGTTGCTATTTAACGGTTTTACGCAAATAGCTGAATTGTTCGACCACCAACATTACATTTTGCTGTGCTTAGTAATGCCTGTAAAGCTAATCGCAATTGGTGTATGACAATTTCTAATATGATTGATACATTTGGTTTTCAGTTGACCGCAACCATGATCACTCTAGAAGACTTACCCAGAATGCAATCGCTGTCGCCTGCGAAGGATTTAGAGGAGTCTTCCTATCAGACGATCCTCCAAGTAACGCAGCTGGATAATGTGGCCAAAGCAAGGCCCAAGCCGGCAAAGTTGATAAAACCTATCATAAAGCCGCCGAGCCCAGCTCCCTCATCCCTGGAAACTCCAACGATAGTGCAAGCTCGTCAATTTGGTTATCAATGTAAAGGGGGTGGTTTGTTTTTATCGACACTGGTAAGTTTTGTAAAATATCAGATAAATGCGAGTACAACACAATTATTAAATTTATTTTTTGGCATTAAGCAAAATAATAACCTTTGCGTCTTCTGCAATTGTAATTTAAATTTCGACATCAAAGAGGTGTCATTATCGTATCGACATCGGCAGCTATCGATATGTCGATTAGCGTTTCACAGTTGTTTTGTTCGAGCTTTCGTAAAAAGCTCGAAAAGCTTTACGCAAATTCACAATCAGTGTGACACTCAACATTGCGGTGAAAAGACGTTGAACAAAACGCCGGAGAACGGAACAAAGAGAAATTGTGAAAATAAGATTTGTAAATGAACAAGAAGTTCACTAAATTAACATAAACACGTTTTAAGAAACTCCGCAATATCAAATGTAAGCAAATGTCTTGACAACAGCAACACGAAATATGTCAAAAGAAATAGAAGTGGCGGTGGGCAAACAGAAAACGAATTGCAAATAATTTCACAAAAGAGACGGCGAGTAAAGTGCGAAGTACAGCGGTATTCAATGCTTGTGCCTGTGTGTGTGTATGTTTGTGTAAAATCAACAAAATATTTAAATCTGCTGATTTATAAAAATCGTATGCAAATTGACAGAAATTTTGTTGCATATGACGAAATAAATGCAACTCATTGTCCAACAGGCGTGCAAAAGCAACAAAACTCCTATTCAGCAATGCGCGTTCTCTCCTTATTGCTCTCTCGCTCAGCTGACATGTTGCAAGCTGCTGCTGCAGTTGAAGCTGAAGAGCACGCGAAAGAAAATTGTTTGATAAATATTCAAAATACAAAGTACAGACGACAATTACATTTTGTTTCCTTCTGGAAGTTTCGTTTTTTTTTTTCATTCTAGCACACCGTCTGAAAACAATATGAATTTCATAAAATTAAAGCTTACCGCTTGTGCACGATTGTGTTGTGTGTGGTTGTGTTCGTGTTGAGTCGCCAACTCGCTCTTGCTTTTTTTTTTTGTGAGTGCTTCGTCTGCTGATGTGTTGTTTTTGCATTGGTATATACATTGTATGTATGTGTGAGTGTGTGTGTTGTGTCGATGTAAAGTGTTCTGATTGCCATAAAAATTAAATTATTTAGCATTTAATTAAATGCATAAATTAATTGTTGTTTATCAGCAGTGCAATGGGCTATTAGAGCGTGCGTGTGAGTGAGAAAAAGATGGCGTGAGTTGTGTTGTTGTCATAGAAGGCGTGTGAGTCAGACAGACTTGCGCCCAAAAACAACAACAGCAGCAGTTTTTGAAGCAAAAACGAAGAAAGCAGCGATAAAAGCAAACAAAGAAATGTGGGCAAGCAAGTAGGAGAGCAAAATAAGCCACAAAATATAGACACATATTTGTTAAATATGATGTTAAACAAATGGCGACGATTTCACTTTACACGCACACCCGACCCAATCGTATACCTTGTAACTGAAGAAGTGAAAAACATTTTGTGAAACGTGCGGAAAACATTTTTAGATGCTTCGTTGAAAAAGAAAGCATTTTTGGCAGGGGAAGAAAGCAAGCACATTGACCAAGTTCAAGGACGTCGTAGAGACGCAAAAAACACTCACGGGATTGTTTTTTTGTATTTCTCAAACAACGCCACACCGCCGCGTCTAATGTGCAAATGTGAAATCAATGTTCATTTGTATACATGTACATATACATATATGAACAACAATGTGCAAACGTAAATGCTTATATTTTCGCAGCTAACAAAAGTTTATTAATTAAATTTAAAAGCAAAAACAAACCGATGAAATTTTGTTTAAGCGCAGCCGCGTGCATCGCAACACACGCACGCTGAAAGTCTCACAGACAGCGACAGTAACAAAAGCGCGCGTGTTTGTGTGTGGGGCTGTGGAGCAGCAACAGCATCAGCATCTAAAGCAGCAGAAATAAAAGCAACATCAACAAGAGCAGCAGACACACATTTACTGCGTCGCAGTTTTCACCGTTACAGTCCGTCGTCTGTTCTTGTGGCTGCGGGCAATTATTCGCCAACAAAAAGGAAACTTGTGAAGAAAGGTGAGTGGACGATTGTATGATGATCCAACATACAAACATAAACGCACACACACACACTGATATCTTCACCCACTCCCATCACACATGCACACAGGTGCATTCACACACAAATACTGTTCTGAAGGTATTTGAAATCTTCTTTTTTTCTTCGTCTTTTATTCATACCGCATGCACACATACAGACATACGTATGTACGAAGTATCTACATATGTACATACATATACATATATCTAATCGCACTCAGTTGTTTATTAAATTGAAATTTCAAACAAAGGAAAGTGTGTATTGTTTAGGCCATAAAAAAGAACTTGTCCTTGAACTCTTTAACTGCAACGTCAAAGACCTTGAATGAGTTCAAGTTTTTCCATTTTGGGGTTAAGTGAGGGCGTAAATGGAGAGGCGTAACATTATGCGCCTTTCTTTTAATAAGGTGCCATGTGGGTGGATGTTGAGATGCATTAAGGAAACAAATCACACAAACACATTTGCATATGCATAAATACATATGAACATACATATGTAGCGCGGAAGCTAAAAATGAGTTAAAACGTTGTTCATTCTTGTGGTTTGCTGAGACTTCCTGTATGTATGTATGTATGACAAGGCTATAATTATAATCATAAGCAATCTCAATGTGAACAAAAGCTTTCCATCAAGTGCATACCATCAAGTATATCGATAACAAATGCGACATAAAATGATTACTAATGACATCTCTCTCTCTTTCTTCCTTTTCAGTTAATAACACAAATACGCAAAGAGGACATTGAATTATTTGCATTAAAATAAAAAAGCGAACAACAAACAACTTTGCAGCTAAAAACAAAAACAAATCATCAGCCAACCCCTTGAGGCGACCGTTAAAGGCGTGAGAATTGCGATTTAAGCAAATAAGCAATTGTTTTGCGCATTTTTATTTTATATGCATGCGTACATACATATATATATATATATATAATGCGTATATAAACGAAGGAGAGAGCGGCAAGGCAAGGAAACGTCATTGAACGGGCGACGCTGCCGACAGCAAAGCTGTCTGGCCGTCTGACCGGGTGGGTGGTGGTGGAGGAGCAGCAGCAGCAGCAACAACAACAACAAGAATAGCAGCAAGCACAGCAACTGTTGGCGACGATTGTCAACACCCACGCACCGATTTACTTGTAACAACAGCAAGAGTAGCACCACGAACAAGAACAACGGCTACAGAATGATCTCAAACAAAAAAGCGTATGCCATGAAAATGTTGCAATTGGCACTGGCCTTGAGCCTGCTCCATGTTGATCCCGACTCACTCCTGCAACAGCGACTGCGTCGTTGGGATGACCAGCTGGAGTTGACCCAAGGCGTCGGTAGCTGGGAGTTGGAAATATTACGCAGTGTACCCATGGTTGAGACCCAAGATCCATATGGGAATCGTAAGGGCATTCCCCCGGTTATTGCGGATCTATTGCGCTACGATGATCTGTCTCCATCCTATAAATTGTCCAAAAGCTTTAATGCCAGCGCTGTGGTCATGAATCTGCACAATACCACAGGCAATAGTAGCGTCCAGACTGCTGCACTGCAGGATATGCAAAGCACGGCTGGTGGGGCGACGGGCAATGCAGTTGGCGGGGGTGGAGCGACGGCAGCAGGTGGCGGAAGCAGCGCTTCCAGTGCGGGCAACGAACTTCATATCGATACCTCATCCATAGCCACTGGCAGTATTGCGCTTACGCCGACTCCAGAACTAGATATATTTCTTTCGCCTGATCTGTTGCAAGACGAACGTTCGATTTGGGAGCAGAATTTGGCCGATTTGCAGGACTATGGCGACTTTACTGTGAGCAGTCCATATGCTGGACTGCCGCTCAAGGACGGACAGCAGCAGAACAACACACACTTGGACTTGAGTCTAGCCGCCCTCCTACAAGTGGGTATGCAGCAGCAGGAGCAAAGACGGGAGGGCGCCACAGCCTTGAACGATAGCACGCCGCATCCGAGCAGCTCCGCCAGCGTAACTGCGAATCAATTTGATGAGGATGCGGATGATTTGTTCGGCCACTCTCCTAACTTGGCCATCTGCTCTAGTCTGGTCAATGCCTGTGAGGCGGAGGGCGTGCATCCGAGCGACACTGAAGGCGCCATTGGACCAGCTGCAGGGACGGAGGAGCAGCCCGAACTAGAGGACAATGGATTCGCCAATGAGGTGGAGGTCGTCTATGAGGAGGTAACTTTAGCTGTCATGAAAGCTTCAACTTTAAAAGGTTAGGCAATTTAATACCCAGATTTTTCTGCTGCATCCTGATTTAACAGACAGTCTAACATCCAGTAGCGTTTACGAAATCAGGTAAACATAATGGGTATACCCGAGCTCAGAAGACGGGACACAGTTTTCTGCTCTGCTTTCATAAAATAATATATAGATTCCAAATAGACTCCGCTTACATTCTAAAGCCTTTCAGTTGTTGAGTTCAACAACTCGTGCTGCAATAAATTGCACATCTATAGTACATATAGTATTTATTTACAGATACTATATTGGTTGCGATTGCCATCAGGCTGTCAGTCAGTCGGTGTGTAATAATCGACTTTCATTTGGCTGATAAGAGAATGGCGTTGAAAAGCAGTTCGCAAACAATGTCAACTAGAAACTAAATTTTTGCATTACAAATTAGGTAAATGTGAGCCACTGCTTGACCTATTCGAATATTTATTTCTAGTGGCATTCGTGCTTTTCTCTCTTCACACTAATGTGTCTCATTTGAAAAATGTTTGCTACATAAGTCCCTCCTTCTTAGAAATGTGATGCTCTTAGGAATTTAAAACAATATTTCTCTCATTTCAAATATCAAATCAATATATATTATATTACCTGAAAGAGTATGGTATAATCCGCTTTCTAGAACTCTACATTGTTCGTTTGTTTGGTCAGCAAGCATTTACGTACGCTCAGTCGACCGGATTTCTGAAGACACTACATCATAAACTTCTTTAAGTCCGATTGTAGCTGTCATGGAAAATATATTAAATATTAATTCATTAGTAAAGTGATTATGGAGGGATGTAAACTTTTTAATGACTTTTCGGGGCATTATAGTCTGTAAATGTCCAGTGTCAAGGCGCTTTCGAACCGCTGCAAAGAACTTTCTAGTAAGATGGAAAAAGTATTGTGTATGATCAAAATAACGGAACGACTCGATGTAGACATGTCCGTCTGTATGAACATCGATAACTTTTAAACTATAACAGCTAGGGATACCGAACTTGGTATGTACAATTATCTTTCTCACATGCAGAGCAAGTTTATTACAAAGCGTATATAACTCTTTTTTTTATATATACATAGCTGTCATAGAACCGATTGGCGAGAATATCACTTTTAGTAGGAGAACTGATTTCTTTATGAATATATCTTAAGCCAATTTGGTATTTATGTGTTTCGTATAATACCTCAACGTACTATGAAATTGCAACAAAGTCGGTAAACTACAAGTATATCATATAGCTGTCGTGAATAATCGGAGCGGGAATGATCGGTGCAGAAATAAAGCTAGAAAACACTTTTTTGTTAATAACGATATCTTGAGCAATTGCGTTTTGTTTAGTGCCTCAACATACGTAGCTGTAAGAGGAATGCTTGGCACAACAATGTTTGAATTAGTTCAAATAGAGTAGGGCTCGTACTTCCCCAAAATCAATTCATTTTGTGTCAGTCTGCATTTATGACCCAATCAAGCTTTTAAGCACAAGTACAAATACGAGTCAGTCTGGCTGTCTTATCTGCCGATCGGCTGGCACAGTCAATCACTTCTTGTTTACCTTTCAGCATGACTCTGTATAATCCACATACTACATATACTTATATAGTACAAATACTATATGGGCGCACTATCGCGCCCCTGTCTTATCAGCGTTCTTGTTTTTTGGCATATATTTTTATGTTTTATATTTGCGAACTTTCGACCGGCGCTCGGTCTGCATAATTAGCTCTCAGCTTTCACCTAAGTTCGAGTTTGAAAATACAAAAAGACCACTAATATCTGCCATTTAATGAGAAGCATTTTGGCAATTGGGTCAACAAACGTTTTAAATGCGCAAAAGGAGCATTTTTTATCTGGCTAAGAGACATACAAGAAAAAAAAACAGAATTCCAAGGAATTTAAGCGAAATTTAATTTTAATTTATACAATTTTGTTGCTCAATGTTTATAAGTTGCAAAGACACACAAGCAGACACACACCTCGTGCATTGTCTTGGAGACGTTTTTGTACTCGTTTTTTGTTATTTTTATTTTTAAATACTGCCAAGCGGCAAATTAAATTGAATTTCGACGACAAATGCGCTGCACCAATTTTTTCCCCATTTTTTGTTGTTGTTGTTTCTTTACAAATTGCAATTTCAATATGCAAATCGTTGTGTAACTGTGTGTGTATGTGTGTGTGCTATAGACTTTAAAATATTTTGTGACTATTCTAAAATATGATTCCAACATGCTGCGAAATGTTTTCCATTTCCAAGGCAGCAAACAAACCTGTCGTTCTCTATATTATGATTTCGTTCTTGAATGCCGTGCTTGACAATATTAGCTCACGACTTTAGTCACCACACAAACAACTAACTTACATACTTATGTACATAGATATATACTTGTATATATAGTTTATATATAGTGTATAGTATGTGTTGCAGTTTCGTGCATAATCAAATGGGTCAATTTGTTTGCGTTTGTCAGTGTCAGAAATTGTATTGCAATTTTCGTATGGCTTTGATTTTTGCCATTGAGCCGAAACACAGTGGAAGAAATAACATGTATTGAAAAAGAGCTCTCCAAAACAAAGAACTTGTTCACTTTTTAAAAATAGATGCAAGATTTCGGTGAGATTACGAGTATGTAGCACATCCTTCAATATGCGAAGCTATATAGATTTGTCTTTGATCTCGAATACTGCAAGTGCTAAGGACTCCAAAGCTGATTGGATCAATTGCTTAGCATATATGTACATACAAGTACATATACTCAAATTTGCTACAGATTTTAAAATAAAAGATATTATGCAATCAGTTTAAAATTTAAAGATCTGTACCGCGGTCTAAATATTTCCAGTTCAGTTTATTGTACACGCTGTTGTACCCAAAGGTTCAAAGGATATCTTAAAGAGTCTGAATGTTGTAAAAAGCAATAACAGTATGATGGCTCGAATCCATATATCTCCTATTAGTTCAAAGTTGGGTTCTAGACTTGCCTTTTTCATATGCAGAGCAGCGCGAGGGTCTATTGATCGACTTCATCCAGTGCAGGCTTATTGTTCAGAGATGGTTGTAAAACGCCGGGCACTCCTTGGTGATTCTATATCCTATATCGGCTTTCTGGCCAATTCTGGTACTTCTTTAGTGAGCGGGTCAAGCCACAGAGTTGTCTAATTTAATTGCATACCAAGATAATCATAAATATGATTCTATATAACTGACATAGGAATCAGTAGATCAGGGCTAAAACTACTTTTAGAAAAACTGTCGTGACTTTTAAGATACCAGGGCTTTTATAATGCTCTACTTCATTCTGATTAAAGGTTTTGTTTATTAAGAATGCCCCACTAGTTTAGGAAGTTTCGTTGAAATCGGATCGCAATATCTTTAAGCTGCTATAAAAAAGATTGGTATGCAAATTAGTAGAAGATTAGACGGAACCACCGCTCCTTGTTTTACAATAACTATTTTGTTTATAAATTTATCTTATGCAAATCTAGTATTCTGAAAATTCATTGAAATCGGTGCATTATCTATATCATATATGTGTTATATCAACTCTAAAACTTTTTATCATAGAGCTGTCATATGAATAATTGGTACAATGAAGTTAGTTGTAGTTGTTAGATTTTAGGGGGGAAAAGGGTGGATATAGGGTACTCACAAGTCGCGCTGGCACGACCTTAACACTCTACCCGTTAACCCGTGTGCGCGCCAGTTGTAGATCGATTAGAACGATCGATTAAAACTTGATTGTTTTTATGTGCCCAGTTAGTTAGTCATTTAGAGCTCTTAACAGCTGTTTGTCATTGGCAGCTTAACAGAGCTGGAATTAACATACGTGCAGTTGTTGTTATTGCTACTGTAAAGTGATACTGCATCTGTTAAATGCGAGATTATAAAACAGCAGACAGATTTGGGGCGAGAGTTGGTGCGCTGTTAATTATTTTTTAAATTTTTTAAGCAATAATAATGCGGAAAATATAGTATTGAGTCCCTAATAGCAAATTATGTTCCCAAATAAGCGTCTAACCGCTTCATTATCATGATAAATCACATTAATGACCCAGAACGCTGATTTTTTTTACAACTTGTCGCTTGTGCTAAATTTTGTAGCTGCTTTCGGCTCGATTCGGTTCTGTATCTTATTTTCAATATCGACACAATCAAAGATCTCTCACACCTGTAAAGCTAGCGTCAACAGTGCTGTCCGGGTGTGTGTGAATGTGTGCGTGTGTGTGTGCGTATGAGGTCAGATGCTCTCGCTCCGAACGTTGAATGTCGTCTACCTTTTGCTTCAAGCCAGCTCGCTAAGCAGCGTATCTTGTAGATACAAAAAAGTATGTTCGAGCTTGACGTTTTCGTTTATCTTTTGCTAGCTTTTTCGCAGACATCGACATCGTTGCTCTGAGTCAACAGTTGTAGTTGTTGTTGTTGTGCCTTTGAGCATTTTTTATTTTTTGGTCTCTCGCATTTGTTTCAAAAGAATAACACGACAAAATCTCGGCACAAAAAAAAGAACGTTTCATTGAACTTCGCTTCTTGCGGCTTTGTTTTGCTTGCCCCCATATGGGGTATACTTTTCGCTTCGTTCGCTCTTGTTTTGGCTTTTTTCTTCTTTTTTTAGTTTTTGTAAATGAATACTAACAAACATACAAATGGTTGTAATTACGAAAGAATATTATTGCAGGCTTTGCGTTTCTGAAATTCGTTCTATTTCGCAAGTTTTTTTCTTTACGAAGAAGATTCATGGGTTTTTCCATGACTTTGGTAAGAAGTTTAAAAGACAAAGCAATATTCATACTCGTATGTAGAATATATGCGTTTCAAACAATTGTTTTTTTACAAATTAGCTTGATATTTGTTTTAAATTGTTAAACTTGTTAAACTCAGAGTCCAAGCTGAACTTTTTTGTTGGTCGATAATTCTTTTGCAGTGTCTAGGGCATGTTATTATATTAAACATAATAAATAGATTACG